ATTTTAAAAGAAAATACATTTACATTGTATTGTAAATTTTTGTATTTACCACCTCAATTTAACCTTTAGTGTAACATCCCATCTTCCATTTATCATCCTTACTCATGATACAACACATAAAAATGTTAATTATGTTAATGTTCATTTTCGCTTAGCATGGTTAGTATGATACAAAACAAAAAAAGTGGTGTGGTTTACAATCGTTTGCCCACGAGTATATTGCACATTCACGAACGCTTAATGTTCATTATTTATTTATCAACATGAAGAGATTCTAATGATAATATCTACACCCACATGTATAGTACATTTATAAACGATTGAAAAATCACTCATATGCACGTGAACGATTGATTGTTAAGAATAACATAGCTTTACAATATTATAGCATAATGTCCCTTTCTCTTTTATTTGTAATTACAAGGATATTGATTAATGTAAAAATGGTGTTGGACAAAATTGTAGCGCTAGATCCAAGAGTAGTACATGAGTGTTCGATAGCTAAAAAGGACGATGTCAAATCACTATAGTATTTTGCTGGGCCTAATTTCCAGATATTATTATGGTTACTAGACGATCCAGAGGGAAGAAGATGTGGATGCTTCTCTAAAATCGTTTTATGATGAAGGTGCTATAGATGTGGATGTTTCTTTATTTATTTATTTATTTATTTATTTATTTATTTATAAAGATAGTTGCGTAGCAAAGGACGTGGACAAATGTCAATTAATAATAATTTATTTAACAAGTTGCAAACATCTCTTTGTCAGCTGGAAAAAAAAGAAAGAGAGAAAGAAAAGCAATTTCTTTCTAATTCTCGTTGTTATTGTTAATCACTGTACAAATATGAACAACAACTGGTTTATTAGTGTTGTTTCCATTGCATTTGAAAATGTCAAATTTAATATTTTTGTAATTAAAAGAAAAAAAAAAGGGTAAGAATCGTTTATTTTATAGTGGAAAATATATAGTCAATCACATGAAATATTTGTCAATGAATGGAAGAACAGATCTGCTATGATGGCGTGCAGTTTTCCCCTGAACTAAAATTTATTTCCATTGGAGCAGACACCAATATTATATCCTATATTTTAATTGCAATTTGCAAAGGAATATATATGGCCCATAGTTTTGGCAATGATTTCCATTTTGGATTTAATAGGCACTCAACTCGATCCGTTGAAAAACTAAAAAGCAGTGTTAATGTTAAGTGATTGGTCGTTTCAAGAATATTAAACACACAACTTGCAGCATCGTCTAAAACTCAATCCCCCACAAAAAGAATATATTTTAGATGGGTAACCAGGTCTAATTCATTGAGAAATGTCTTAACTAATCCCTTGTTTAATAAATTAATCTTGGTTGGTGTTAATCTGATGATCAATCGAATCGTGTTTGAATCAGAGGGCAGTCAGTGCTTAAAAGGTTTGACTCCTAATATGTCTTAACCAATGGTGCAGAGTATGTGATTACCGATAGAATAATATTATTATTTGATCCATGTCCCACGAGGCATATAGTTTATGTTTATAGTTCTTTCTTTCAGATGAGGCATCTTATTAAAAAGAAAAGAAAAAGAAAAAGAAAATATATGCCCGTGTTTCCCAAGAAATTAATCTCTTTTTGACCTATGTAGAGGACAGTGACTTCCCCTTTATTACTAATAATGCCAAGCTACTTAATTAACATATTCGCTGTACTAGTTTGTTGTCATCAGCTCATTGTCGATGGTCCACCACCAAATTAAACACCCTAACGGTTTTTCATATTTAATTAATTATTTCCATGGAAATTAATTACTCTAATTAGTTTTTGCAGTTCATTACAAGGGTTTGTGCATCCCCTATGTAGAACCCTATTCAAACGTGAACATTAGTGGGGCCAATTAAGGTCACAAAAGCAAGTAGGCTTTATAGGTCCGTAGGGTTTTAAATTGTATATCGTAAGGGCCAGAAAGATTAGCATTTGATTATATATTTTGATGAGCGATAGTTTTAGACAAGGGAGGTTTCTCACACGCACACTATAAATGTGCACATTATAAATGTGTCGTGTGATAATATCGATAATCTAAGGTGGGGAAGTTGCTCTAGCCATTTAAAGTCACAAAAGCAAGTAGGCTTTATAAGTCCGAAAGGCCAGAAATTAAGTCAAAATTATCTTCCATTAGGCTAAACCTCATTGACTGATGCATCGAATTTTTAGTTCTGATGCATAGAAGCGACAAATTAAGGTTGGGTGGTTTAGAGAAGCAAGTTATCGTAGGCCTCACAAACACAAATGGCTTAATTGTTTGAAGTGTGGATGAGAGAGGAGGCAGGAATTTGCTGCGACTCTAAACAGTCTAGTTGTGTACTTGGATATCAACAAGACAATGGAATAAGTCGTTGTCATCCTCCTTCCCTCATCACCATTATTATTGAAAAATCCAGATCATGGGGACCAATAATTGAACGAAGAATTAAGGCCTCCCTTACAAAGCTTGTGGTTTTGACACACGTAAGCAAAACTTTGGTGGGCATGGATGGATCTTTAAGTTCACAGCACTAGGGTTTTTAAGGGCTTTTTCGTTTTCAACTTTTTTTTTTCTTTGCTTTCTTCTAACGTAAATGATGAGTCCAAGACCAAAAAGTCGAAATATATTAATGGAACCATTGGTGGACCTATTAAGGTTTCCTCTCGCCAAAAAAGTCTCTTCAAGCCTTGCATATTGTAGGCGCTGCTATTGATGCACCCTTGGCTGTTGCTGCGCACAGCATTTTTTTTATTTTATAAAAACATCGACGTCATTTTGGAACAAGGTTTAAAAGAAGAAAGAAAAAAAAGCAATTTGTGGACTTTAACAAGCTCTGATGTACGGACTACTTAAAAAATGATAAAGGGCTATAAAGAAAGGCTTTTAACAAGCTTTCTTTTTCTTCTTTTTAAATTAATCGTTTGGCTTAAATCAATCGGATGGAGATAGTATCCAATCCGGGCATTCTTTCTCAAAGACGGCAATTCAATAGCATTTCTCAAATGCAGACACTCTTTTTCTTTTCTTTCTTCAATAAATTACTTTTATAATGAAAGAAACTGATAAGCTCCAATTGTAAATCCCTAATTGATAAATAAATCGTAATTCTCAATTGCAAATCTCTAATTGATATTAAATAAAATCCAAAAAAATTCTCAAATTTCAACATCAACAAATTGAGAGAAGATTACTGTACCTTATAGGAACTTGGTTTGCTTCTCGAATTAAGCCTTGAAGATGAGTTCAATAGCAACAAGAGCATTCCTTTACGTGTGCAAGGGTGCAATATGAGTTTGGCAACAAAGTCGACAACTCTAAGAAATATTCTTTTTTTCCACTGGCTGTGTGCATTCTTTTTTTTTTCCCGCCCTATGTGCTGTAGACTAGAGACGTGCTGCAGCTTTTCTTTTCTCCCTTTTCTTTTAATAATAGAAAGAAAGAAAATATAACTTCACACAGAGGAAGAATAAGAAGCATATGTGTTTTCCCTTTTTCTTTTATTTGTAATAAAGCTTTTAATCTTTCAAAATTGCACATTTACTAAAATAAAATTGAGTCCGCCAGTGAAATTAGGTTCAAATGTGTGTGAGATCGATGATGATGGTTTGTTGGGATATAAAATTATAGGTTTTTTAGAACCTATAAAATTATAGTTTAAGTTCAAAAAAAGAAAAAGAAAAAGATAAGGTTCTTGGTGTATGCAACGTATGTACGTAGTCGGTCTAGTAATCACATATTTTCTCCAATAAAAGAAGAATCAATTTGAAATCTGCATGTAAATGTCATATATATAATCTGCCCAAAAAAAATGTTATATACATAATTCAAAAATAATATTTTAAAATCTAGTAGTTGTAGAAGTTGGTAATTGTCTGTAGTGATAGTACCACCTTCGGTCCACTTATGTGAAAAATATCCTGGTACTATATAATTATAATATATATTATTATACATAGAGCTTCAATTCAATTGAAGGATTTCTCAAATAAGGTTATTTGGAAGACATTCTACACATTGTATTTTAATAGTCCGAATCATCTAGTTTTTAGTATATTGACTTGACGACAGCTACCAAATTAAATTAGGGTTTTGAATGTGAAGGTGGTGATATGGCCGTAGAGCTTTATCTCCTCGACTGGTCACTGACTCTGTGACTCATTGGTTGTTCTTATATGAGTCGGCATGGCATGACATGAAGATGCTCAGGCATGCTCCTCCTAATTGGAATTCCATTTTAAATAACACCATATAATATATATAATAATAATAAAGAATTAAAATACAACTAACTATTTAGGCCCCACTCTCTCATGCCCAGATGCCTAGCAACTTGTCTACTGGTCAGCTCCTGAGGCTCAGCTATTCTTAAGTCACAACTCAACTGGGTGATTCATTCAAATCCTTTTGTTTATCAGCCAATGAACTTTGCTGTTGTGCTCAGCTAAGGTTTAATCCTGTTTGTTAAATTAATTAATCCTCTCCTCCACTCAAATTCGAACGAATTAATGAATTCATCTAAGAGTAATTGTGTCAGAACCCTCCAAGGGAACACACTAATCCATATATTAAAATAAATATAAAAATGGAACGTACGTCTAAGCTTTACCCACACACTACTAAAGTTCCATTTGTATCATGGAAAAGGAGGCCTGGAGATAAGAAATCAATTGCTAAATTTTAACCACCTAAAATGATATTGGTCCATTGCTTAAAATACTCATCAGGGTCAGGGATCTAGATCTACAACTGTTTGCCTGTGTCGTCGTACTCGTATCTGTTGTTCTCAAGCTGCTTCATTTGGGTTGGGCAGATTCGACTTTACTAGATTAATTTAATTATGAGTTCAAAGTCTCCTATCTTTCGATAAACAAGTGTTGATTTCGATGGTTATGGAGGTGAAAATAATGGATTTTAACAGTCAATTGCTATAAACAAGATTGAATTTGGAAGCAGTCATAAATAGACGAGGATGACGACAACACGATTCGAAAACAAATTTCATTCATCTTCTTCTAATCATGAACAAGAACAATGGAGGCGGCACAATATGGAACACAGCCTCAGGATGGGATCAGCAGCACTAATTACAATTCCAAAGGCCTAAACTACGGCCACCTATATCATCATCTACATTTGTAAGTAAAACCAAAAACACATACCTACTTGCTTGGGACAACAACACACAACAAACAAACGGACACCATTCTATTATTATTATTATTATTATTCTTCTTGTTATTCATCTGCCCTTTTTACCCTAAAATCCGAACAAAAGGTACCCTTATCTTCCGAACAAGATCCATCCAATCCACTGGATCCCTCTTCCTGCATATCAAAATTTCCGTGGATACTACGATTATCTAAACCAGTTCCCCTGGTAGATATCCCAGACAGTGAAACCAGACCCATGGCTGCAATGCTATTTGCAATTACATCAACGTCCCTGGTTCCACTATACAGACCCCGGCTCCCACCAACCAGCATATTTCGATTCTCATGTGCATTTGACAGCATGGCAGGCAATACATCTATGAGCTGTGAGCCACTCTGGGTCGAACTACTCATTAGCAGTCGCCGCAGTGTCTCTCTCGCTCCCTTCTCCACCATAGAATCAGTTTCGGGAATGTTCACAAGCTTCGGGTGCAAAGGAGAAATGGCAGTTGAAATAGCAGGACCAGCGCTGACCAAGTACCCTTGGCCCGAAGAGCAAATATCAATAACTGGAATGTGAACAATTGGGTCACACATCAACGGTGTGAAAGTCGGGATCTGCTGAGAAGTTGGCCTTGGTAACCTGACCAATGGGTCTGGGAGAAAAGCAGGGAAATCGACCAAGGGAGCATCAGCCAAATTAAGTGGTGGTTTTGTTGTCAACATGCTTGAAGGCACATTGGCTTGTAATAAAGAAGAAAGTGGTGGAAGCAAAGCTGATTCAATTGATGAGCCGGGAAGCTCAGGAGGTTCTGGTGAGAACTGCAAATCTGATGAACCTGGAGGGCACCAACAATAGTAAGGAGATAAAAGAGGAGTAACTATGTAAGGCACTTGTGATGCAGGGTTCAGGGTTGATGGGACAGCCAATTTTCCTAGCGACTCTAGGAAACCTGAAGAAGATAAAGAGCAACTTCTAATAACTTCTGGACATTTGTCAATTTCAGCATTATTTGGACAAGATGCATCAACTGTGATTGATGAAGCAATTGTTGGGATGTCGATGCCTGAAAGGTACATGTCTCCTCGCCTCCTCAACTTTTCCCTGGATATGTTCCTCAAAGAAGACAAGGTTCTGGGTAGGCCCTCTTTGAAGGAACTTGGTCTTGGGCTCAGGCTACCCTGAAATGAGGAATTTGCCTTCGTTGCCTGATTGACACTATGCCGTGAACGCAAGGATTTTGATGATGCGGATGAGAATTGTCCATCTTGAGCTGTATCAGATAGCTCTGTGGTGGTATCCCCATCAGATGTGGAGCCTGTAGAACTTCCTGCATTGCCACCCACTGTTGATCCCACCAGATAGGCACGAAGGTGAGTTGCAAAGCAACCAAGGCGTGATTCACTGATTCCAGTTAACTCAGCTATGGAGGGCTTCCTCTTGATCAGATCCTTCATCTGTCACAGGGGTGAAGAATCAGTTAGCAATTATAATAGCAAACAAGTGCTCTGTCCAGACAGGTTCGTTATTTAAGTCATACATACCTTTGCAAGCAATTCAATTCCCAAAAGTCGGGATGTCTCAGAGCACCAAAAGTAAAAAACCCGGCCACCTGGGATTTTAATAAGGAAAGACCGGCGAGAATTGTCCGTTGGAATCTCATTGACTTCTACAGCAGAACATTGAGATTTGCTACTTAAAGTGAAAAGTCTATCTGTATGACCATCATCCCCAACGAATGAAAGGCGTAAATTAGATGTTGGCAAGACTGTAAGATTTAAATTACCCCTGAGACAATGTGAAAAGATAACGAAAGCTTAGAAAGAGAAATAAGCATAAGAAACCTAAGTGACTTTCAACGACTGCAGAGGCCCAATCACTTAATGTTAATCTAATTGTTCTTTCTCCGCTAACCACAGGTATTTCCTTATTATTCTTTTTTCTTCTGGTTTTTCCGTTGACAATAATCAAAACTAAATTCAAGCAAGTAATTTACTAAGTACAAGGTCAGAGACAAAGGTCACAACAACCCTATCTAACTTCTGTATATCTGTTTTCCATTTTAAGAGAAGAAATCACCAAAGCAGGACCACACACTATTATTCAGAGTTGAACTAACGCTAAATTTGACTCAACAATCATAAAACATGACAACTAACGAGTTGCCTCCAACATTTGCGCTCTTCCAGTGATCAGCATAAATGAAAGGTATACAAGCAATGCTCAGAGATTCTCTTTTCTATGGATGTAGAAGCAAACAAAAAGAATCAAGTGACAAGATGTCTATACACCATATAATTGGAAGAAAGTTAGACATAAGAGTAGCAAAATAATTCCAATTAAGGAAAGAATAACTAGATGTTAATAACATTAAAATCAGCTTGTACAATCAAACAAACTTCAGGAAGACAGTAGGCAGACAATGACATAACTCAGAAACACAATAACTTGTCACACTCCATTTTAATTTCTATTATAATGCCAATCATTTATAGCTAAAAAGCAGTAGCAAACTATATAATATAGGATCATGAAACTACCTTTACTTCCTCTTAATTCAGAGATCATAATAGAATACGCCCACATTACCTACAAGTCAAAAGACATATTTACTTGGAAGAATGAACATTGTCACCATTAATAAGCTAAAATGGACTCCTACGACCTACAAAAAACATTAATCACGCAATACACTCCCCAGAACATTACATTTGTTCACAAACTCAATACTAGATCAAAACTCTCTCCACTAACTTTTTTAGTTTTCTACCCACTGAACTCATGCTCCCCCATGAGTTAATGACAGTAATGTCAATGATACTAATAATAGAAAAGCAACAAAGAGTATCAGAATAGCCATAAATCATTTTATGAACAAAAGACTAATAATAAGTATAAGATAAGTAGAAACAAATGCTGAGCAAAGAGCATTCAAGGTTAACTATATGCTTCAGCTGAAATCATTCTGCTTAAATATGGTAAATGAATGTCCTATTCTTTTCATAAACTGATATCATTTAACTAACCTCAAAAACGTCTTCCCAATGTCTGACTGCAAAAAACCGCCATGCAGTGCAAAGTGACATCAAGATGTGGTAATTTTTACAACAAACAAATACAATCTGCTAGTCAAACATGATTCATATGAATGGGTGTTTCCATCGCTACCATAATATGCTATTACTCCCACAATCCACAGTATTAGTCATTCCAAACTTCTTATTACACTTCAATTACATGCTAAGACGGGTGATCCCAAACATCTACCACTCTTGTTTATAATTCTGAAATGAAACATGATAAGTAACACTTTAGTGACTATGATGTTTTCTTATGGAAGAGGCCAAAACCATAAAAGAGATCTGACCTAAGATTGTCTTCTCAATGCAAACTTCTAACTGAACACCAAGTCTTTTTTTACTCAAACCTTATTGTTCCATGTTCAGAGTAAGGCGACGTACCACATTCCCATTCCCATTCGTCAAGCCATAACAAAATGTGTTTCAAGTACCTACAGTATGCCACTACCCATACGAGAGAGAGCTTACTCGATTATGAATCCCAATAAAAAAATTCAGGAATATCTTAAGTGAACCCTTTAAAAAATTTCTATAAAGATGAAAATCACTTTCTTAAGTTTAAAATCAACATGAAAATGCAGTCCAGTCTTCCAAATGCTAGACGAATGATTTGAACAAAAATAAACATTCACAAGCAAACAACCAATACTTATATACATGGGGACCTGGAAATTAATATTGACAAATATGAACTTACAGGCATAAATTAATATGATTGATTAACTGCGAAACATCAGAACATTACTAACATCAGGTATATTTAAACCAGCTGCCTGCATGAAATGTCAAAAGCAAGACCGTATGGTGCAATCTAGCAACACTGAGTAACACATTCAAGACATGCTTGAATTACATATATACATGGAATGCAGGGAGGTAAATTTATGCATTAGCACAATAGATTCCAGTGCGATTCCGGAAAATCTTAGTAATCAGGCTAGAATGGTAATTGATTGTTTCATATCAATATAACCTCCCCCATTATAAAGTAAAGCGTTAAGCGGAAGGGACCAGACTAGAAATATGATATTCTGGCACAATCGCACTTCAATCATTAGGAAACATGATGAAAAACATTATTTATTCTCCTGTTCTGTCAAAACTTATAGATATAAACGCCAATGCAGCATCATCATGTGAGAAGGTATTGCCACACATGAATTTGTCAGTAAAATGAAAGGGGTATACAGAGGGCAAAAAGAAGCACACCCATTAATTTGAAAGTCGGTGATTTCAGAAAAGCTATCTAAATGCACGGACTACTTGTTCTAAGTGATAGGCTATGTTCATTTCTTATTCAACTATGCAAAAGAGCAAGACATAAGTAGAGATTTTAGAGTTAATACTAATTACAAACAACATTTCAAACAAACAAAGATACCAAACAAGTGCATCAAGAGATATAGTAATCTGATATTTACCTAGCAGCAGTGGGGCACAAGAGAGTCCCTTGCTTGTTGATCTTTCCCACACGAATGGAAACAAGAGGTATACAGAAGCACCTCGCTAGCATTCCAACTTCTGCTGGCTCGAAATGCTGTTCATCAAACACAACGTGTGAGATCATCATTTTGCAAAACCAGAAATTAAAAAAATAACCACAATCCCAAAAATTATCCCCTAATTCGACCGATGTTCAACAACAGTTCAGCCTATTCACAAAGAATCTAGCAAATATTTGTAGCCTCAATGCCAATTTTGAAACCGCCCCCCCAACAAATACTGTAAATGGCAACACAGAGCTTCAAATCAAGTTGGTTAAGCAGTGAATTTCTACATTGACTTCTTTGAGATCATGGTTATAACATACCTGGCTTAATTGAGCTAACAATCGACCTTCTGCGACGTCGTTCGAGGCATTCATCTTCAATAAGGGCTTCAACCTCTCGTCGGCACGACACGCACCCATAACCTGCATATCGAGCGCTTGTAGCCACTGCAAAACACGGTCCTCTCGATTGCTCTGCTGGAGCAACAGATCTCCATCCCCTTCGTCAACAAGTATGTCCGTCAATCGCTCTTCGAGCCCAATCTCACTCCTCGAAGCTGGTCCAGCACCGGAGCTATCAGCGCCATTCGAGGACGACGAGTTCTCCAATTCTTCACCGTTTGATTGATCGGCAATGCGATCGACGCCGTCGATCTCGTCATTCGTATGTAAATCTTGGTTTCCAGGGCTGGTCATCGCGAATAATTGGGAATTTTCCGTTAAATCGCCTTTGATAGATTCGAAACCCTAATTCGATTTAATTCTTTTTTATTTTTTTATTTTGTTAAATTGTGGTTTCCAAATCTGAATCTGAAGCCCCAGAACCTGATTGAGATTGAGATTGAGATCGAGTTGGTGAACGAAGATTGAATTGCGTGGGTGAGGAGGGAGAGAAGGAGATAAGAGGTTTTCAGAGAGAGAAGAAAATAAATGGTCTCTGTTGCGAAAATGAAAGAGGACGCATAGCCCTTGGGGTCGGTTTTTATAATACAGCTGGGCCTGGGAGGGGACTAGACTAATGAAATATGAGGCGGACTTGAAAACCGCCTATAAAATGCGATTCTGTGTTGGTCTTCAGATCCGAGGCGTGATTGCATAGGCACCACGTCAGCTCATCAATCTCTTTGTGGGACCCGATTATCCGTCAAGCCAAACATTGAAGGAGGTGCCACGTCAGTCGCTTAACGGACGACGTCACGGGTTCCGCCCGATAAGAGATTGGCTGGTAGCGTGCACACGCATTGGAGGCTGAGGGCTTCTTCTATTTTGGGACAAAAGGAGGCTGATGGTTGAGGAACAACCGAACAAAGCAGAGTACAATTAAGCCACTAAACAATGTATATTGGATTGGTGCTTTAACTTTTTTTTCTGGCCAAAGTTTGGTTATGAGGACTTGATATGTTTATTTATTTATAATGAGAAATTAAGGCATCAAGAAACTTAGGAATATGGAAAGTAGGAAATTGGTATATGAAGTTGTTCTCGTTACGTTGTTTACTAATTATATATAATCAATATAAAGAGGAAGTTTAGGGTTTAGGGTTTAGTTCAATAATTGGACAAATTGTCTCTCTTTCGGTATGGATTGCTAGTAGGTAAACATGTCATTTGTTAGTTCATGAAAAAAGGTCTTTCATTGTAGGTCCCTTTGCATTTATTGAGACAATTACTTTAGGCTTTTCTTACTTTTACCTTTTTAGGCCGTTGATTGGGGTAGGGGATGCAATGATTCCAATTAAACAAAGTAAAGTTTCATAAAACAGAAGAAAAAATAGGTCACGGGAGACAAATAACACCCAACTGAATATACGTATATTCAGACTTAGGCAGTCCTAGAACTTTGACTTTATAAAGTTGGGTAACAAAAGAAGCTAACTGTTCAAGATTTCATCAATTCATTCGGTCGGTTGTTTTCTAAATGATGGAATATAATGGACACTGGTTTGGTTCTACATTTATTGAGACAATTACTTTAGGCTTTTCTTACTTTTACCTTTTTAGGCCGTTGATTGGGGTAGGGGATGCAAATATTCCAATGCAATGATTCCAATTAAACAAAGTAAAGTTTCATAAAACAGAAGAAAAAATAGGTCACGGGAGACAAATAACACCCAACTGAATATACGTATATTCAGACTTAGGCAGTCCTAGAACTTTGACTTTATAAAGTTGGGTAACAAAAGAAGCTAACTGTTCAAGATTTCATCAATTCATTCGGTCGGTTGTTTTCTAAATGATGGAATATAATGGACACTGGTTTGGTTCTAAAGAGCAAAAAGTCACATTGTCAAAGAGCAACATCTATAATCACATGACAGCTCTAAATGAAACTCTCTCTTCCAATCAGCGTCCCCATCAAATGTGCTATTCAGCAGTTTTCCTGTCACTTGCTCTTCTTTGGTTCTTTCTGGTATTCATTTATTAAAGCTTCAACATCCTTCCAGAAGAGGCCCTCCACCAAAATCCCATCCTTGGTGAACCTGAAATGTTCCAAAATGTTGCCAAAATTGATTATGCATGCATGTGCATATTTTCTTCTTTCTTCTTGTGTGTGTGTGTGTGTGTGAGAGAGAGAGAGAGAGAGAGAGACCACTGAGTAACACTCTTGGTAAACCGTACTGGTGGATTTGCGGAAATAGATTTGGGGTCTGCACTTGCTATCACAAGTGTGTACATATCAGAGAATCTTGGCAATTGGGAAGAGACCACCAATCCAGTGCTTGTGAAGGAATCCTGCGTTTTGTATAAAACTTACAATATTTTACGAGTTGAAAATTTAGATGCGTGAACTATGTCATAAGAATGACAAAGTTTCACCAATATATATTGATCATTCTAACTTATAAACTTGTAGGAACAATCATGTTTTATATACACATAAAATTCTAGTGCAGCATCTGTGGTTCAATATAAAAGTTCTTCATGAAAGAGTGCCGCAGATGGCTGATATATAGGGTTAGGTTCCAAATAGTAAGAATTAACGAGAAAAAAAAAAAGGGATCCTATAAACCAACCGAGAAAACAAAGATGGGGTGTAACACATGTCTGATAAAAGAAAGAGTAATTCTGTTTTACTTTAACCATGTCAAAAGAGAGTTACAAAATTCGAAAATGGATTTTACTATTTTAATTCTTGCTCCTAAAAAGGATAAACATGTTGTCTCAACTAGAGAAAATAAAAGTCAAAATCTCCCCATGATCAAGCAATCATCATTCTGCACACATAACGCCCGTGACCTAACAACCATGGATAGGCAGCTAGGCAAAAACAGTCAACAGGGGGGGTGGCGCGAAGAAGGAACAAGAAACCCTTAATGGGCATTTCAATACAGAATTCTTCATGTTCCACCCTACTGGGAAGACAAGATTGAGCTTAATGTCTAAGACATGTCCCAATTGCATAATGCATATACAAGAGGGGGGATACATCTTATCACAGAACAAGGAGATATAATAAACTTTCATCAATAATTATTCGGGTTCTTTAGACTTTCTACTAGAGTAACTGAGACGACTGTAGCTTATCACTTATGTTACAGTATAGTAGCTTAATATGTACATATGAATAGAGACACGTAGACATGTATAAAGCTAAAATGTTCCAGAGAGCCCCCCAACTTTGATAAGTCATCATCACTCAACTCCAGTCAACAACACCAAGCAAACACCCTAATCCAAATTGCAGGTGACAAAGCCACTATTCAGTAGCATAAGGCAAAACTTTGAACGGGATATAAGACAAGGATACAAAATATTTTATATTGAAACTAGAGTATGGATGTATTCAATAGTAGATATAACAAAGGAAGCTAGACATGAGGAATCGTAAACACAGTAAGTCATAGTATATAGACTGATATCAGAGTTTATCAAATCACACCCCTTCGTGCAATTAGTTTATCAGCATATAGTAGGAAAGACACATATCGGCGTGTTCACACACTCAAAAATTCAGTAACCTACAAGTTAAATATCAGCATGTAATCAATCATCGTAACTACATTTTGAATCCCGAAGAGAAACATACCGCTGGAGGATACGTAAAGAGGATGGCATTCTTCTCCTTTGTGTATATGATAAGCTGCAATAGTCCATTGAAGACTATATACTTGCCAGAGTCAAAGATCAAACACACTTGAAGCTAACATCAATCCAAAACTATGCGACAGCAGTAAAATACATATCAAATTTTAAGCCATGAAAGCAAGCAAAAAGAGCATCAAATCAAATTAAATAAACTAATAACTGGTTTCTCATCAATTAAACAGAAATTAACAGTACTTAAACGAAGATAAACACAAGCAAAAGCATAATGTCATGAATTTTGAGGATATAAGACGATGCAGAGGATGAGAAAGTCTCGGTTGTCAGGGAACTTCTTCTTGTAAAACTGAGCGAAGAGAGCAATTACGATTATAATTGTTCCGAGAAACAATCTTATATTGCTCATCCTCACGTCTTCCACATATCCACGGCTCGTCACGATCTATTCGAATTACAAAAACAATAAATAAATAGAACAAAATGGAAAACCTGGAAACCGAAACGGATCGAGGGAATTCCTACTGACCTCAGTAACAGACTCGTCGAGGATGTGTTTGATGGAGTGATGGTCTAAGAGATTGGCCTTCTTAGGGTTTTTGTTGGCCGAATCTGAGTTTTTGTCTTGCATTTTTTTGGTGGGGATTCGGAGAACTGGGTTTGACGGCTTTTCTCTGAAAATGGCTCCGTGAGAGACAGAGAGAGAGAGTGAGTTAAAGAGGGGGTAACGCTTCACACAGCTTCAGTGGGAGTAATAAAGGACCTTTTTTTTCTTAAGAAAATTCTTGATAAATACTTGCCTTTGCATGTATTTTATGGTTAATTTCATAGATGTTTGAAATGATCGTCTTATTCACATAAGCATTGTAATTTGTAAGTACTAATAACAATTTTCAATTTGAAAACAAAAACAAAAATTTGTTCCTGAGTTAAATAGTAAAATAATTCGAACACACTACAAAATGCACTAATATGAAAAATGGTATAGTGACAAACTTTCTATTGAAAACGAAATTATTGATGTTATTAGTTTATTTTACCTGATGGTACTTAGGGTCTCCAGTATAACATACACATGGTGAATTAAGTCTAAAGATAAAATAGGGTAAACTTATCAGATCCCCCCAAAATCCCTTATATTCAAGGTACCAGTTTGCCAACAATGACGAATACATTTCAAATGAATATTTGATCTTGAAACGATAACACTACGAAATAAACCAATTGGGAATGGGGAGGTGAAGGTGTGGCCGAAAAAGAGAGGCTAGGTTCACAACTATGGAGGCTTTGATTTCACTTTGTTAGTGAGCAAGAACCGAGCACCCTTAACAAGCTCTTCCTTAATCATGAACAGAACAGCAGCTGCAAGTACACTTTGTACTATTTTTGTTCCCATCCCTTTGTAAAACCCATATAATCCTTCATAGCGAATCATCTTTAGAATAGCGTCTGACGTGCCTGGGCATAAAACCAAAAATAATGAAACATCATAATTCACAAACAAGATATTTTCATCTGCAAATATACAGAATTTTAGTTTTGATATTTTAGTTTCTCAATGTATGAATAAATAGTCACATTCAAACCTTTATAATGATGCCTTTTGTCACCAGTTGTAACCTGCTTTGCTTGAAGCCGCGACTGCATCAGCAAGAGAATCAATAAGAAGATGAAAAAAAAAATTACACTAAAAGACTAGTATTTATATGAATGAGATCACAATATACTTTAAAAGTCTTTCTTTATATACTTGTAAGTTTAATGACACCAAATCCAATATAGAACCAAGCCTATCTTGTCTCTTCCCAGTGTCATCTCCTCAATCTTTTACTATTCGTTTCCCCTCATTAACCAAATCTTAGCCAGAAGCTCAACCCAAGTCCTCCAATCCTTTCTTTACACAAAAATATTTCTTTTTTTGTCTTTTTTCTTTTGTGGGGGGAGTGTATTGCTCAAGTCAAAACTAAC